AACCACAGGGCATCAGGCTGACGCAGGTAGAGACAAAGCTACTGGCTTCATTTCCACTCCATCGACTTATTGTGGAACGGAAATCCCGGATGAAGGAAGAGCAGGCAAGCTTATGACCGAAACGGGTCCACATGGATTACATATTCGCTCTGCTGCAGGTGCTAGAACAGTGCCACATGTACCGCTGACAGACAATAGCTGTTCATGGATTGCAAAAGTGCATCCTACCGAGTCGATCTCCCCATCCACCTAGACATAGTTGTTCAGAAACACTCTTACCAAGCATGTGATCATTCTTCGTGCCTTGTTCTCGTAAAGCACAGATTGCATCAGTCGACGCTGAGTTGTCAGACGTCGTTTTCTAGATTTCCAGAGCGCTTTGTTGAAACTTTATTAATCGCCGTTGACCTAAAGATACGGCGTGCTATCATTGCGACAGAAAATCATACCGGCCTGAAAAGTTGTCCGGATAATGCTTACACGTGGTCCTCCGAGAACATGCTCCAGTTCAACGTCGCAAAGTGCAAAGTACTGAGGGTACGCCATCAAAGCATTTAAGACTACCGGCTAGCGCCACGAATTCTACAGCGTGATTCTATTGAGTGTGATCTCTGCATGCTCGTGCAAGATTATCCTGGATGTTAGAGGTAGACCGAAAAGTAATCAAAGGAAGCAAACCGATACTTCGACCTCCTGAGTAGGGCGTTCGAGAAGTTCGGCGCCTCAATCTTTCGGCAATTGCTTAATGCGTGCATGGTAGAGCATCATCTAGCCGCGTTCGATAATGCACAGAGTAGAGCGACAAGGAACCTTAACAGCTCATCCCATCTCCCCTAACAACTTAGGCTAAAAACGGTATCGGCGCTTACGGGTCGATCTTTAATGGTATATCAGATTCCATAAAGCCTTAAGCAGACTTGCCATCACCTTTGAAAAACAGCCAAAACACATCTCTGGGGGCCATCAGTTCAAGCTGGCCACACACAACAGCTGAATATTGTCGACGTAATTATTCCTCTGTTTGAGTGTTACAGGTCTGGAACCCCTCTCTTATCGTTAATCAAAATATGACTTGACGGCGTACTGTCACATCTACACCACCGAATGAAGGCATAATCGCATAACAAACAGTAAACCACAACGAACTCCTCTTAACGTCCGGACAGGGTTACGTACATCCGTTCTACTGCAAACCTCTTAGTGAGGCCTGCAACATGAGTATTATTTTATCGATACTGTGTTTTCATCTCGTGATTTTCACTCCAGCTGCAGAAGGAACTTGTAATGTATTCGCTTATTTACCTGTTATAAACGACTGCTGCACTGCCGACCAGAGCTAATCTATTTCCCTATTTCCTTTAAGAAGCAGATGCTAGAAACCGAATGCAGGAACGCCACTGACTGCGCGGCTGCACCCTGCCTGATACGGTCTCCAACCATTGGCGTGGATCATCCTGAGGCGCCCATCCACGAAGACGGCACTCACCAACCTGAACCAGTCTCACAGTCAATTTCTCCAAGCTTCCATACCATGTCATGGAGTGGCCACTTCGAGGTTTCGCACAACTTGGTACGGTCACGGCGTATAATAACTGCCGAGGAAGCCGGTCAACAGGCATAGGAAGGACATAGTCTAGCCAACCTAAGCGATTAAGCTATGGTAAACACTCGAGTGAGGCACCAGGAAGCTACTCACCAAAATCAAATAGCGGACCCCATTAGATGTGAGTAATATTCCGCAAACACCGGTGGTCAAAAACGGCCAAGCGTTTCATGTTTCCGCCGTGAACTGACCAGGGCTCTGATCCATACAGTAACACCGGCATTACTGCAACGTTATACACCCTACTTCCACTGATAGACTGAAGTCCCGCCGTCTCCATAGATGATTGGGTCTCTGAAAAGTCATACAGGCCTTGCTGTTAAGCGCAGTAACATCTTCAGTGATGTGACCATCAGAAGTAACACTGGTGCCAAGGTAAGTGAAACGATCCACCACTTCCAGTGGCTGCTTGGGAATGGCTAAACCCGGAGGTGTGTCGGTCCAGTCCTGCGACAAGACTTTGCACTTTGAAGATGAAAAGTACATGCCGAAGCGCGTAGCGCTAGACGTTACTCTATGCAGTAGAGTTTGCATGGCCACTGCGTCGTCGTCCACATACTCTAGGTTTGTCAGTTGGTCACCTGGCAGAACTTCCACTCCTGTATTGTCTGAAAGAACGGAGTTACCCATGATCATTTCGATACCAAAGTTGAAGAGGAAAGGAGACACAGGACAAGCCTGACGAATTCTACTTGCATTGGAGAACGCAGGAGACAGTTTCCTGAAGACCCTTAAACGACCTCGGGATTCACGGTGGAGCTCCTGCATAATGGAAAGGAATTTAGCGAAAGCGCCACAAGCTGGCGCGGTCAACAGAGTCGAAAACAGCTTTCAAGTCAAGGAAACCACCATAGTCGATCATGTGCATGTGTCTTCGCTCTTAAATTTGGGGAAGAATAAATATGTGGTCGAGACAACAACAACCAGAGCGGAAGCCAGCTTGGTTTTCAGTGACTAGGTTCTCACGGAGATCAGTAAGTAGTCGAAGAATGATACCCGTGAGAAGTTTGGAGACGATAGAAATAAGGCTAATGCCTCGATGACTTGCAAAAAGTATGCTGACCCATCTTGAAGATGGACACAACGGCTAACTATCGCCAGGCTGAAGGCACCTCTTTAATGTCCCAAATCGTGTCAAACAGAAAAGCGAGTACAGTCAATAAAGTCACCTCAGTCTTTAAGAAAAGATGAGGGAAAGCCGTCGGATTCAAGAGCCTTGTTTCGTTAAAGCATAGAAAGCTCATATCGAATCGCTTCCAAAGTGGGAGGTGTGACATCTACTACTCAGGTCGGCTCAGGCGATTAGGCAAGTGACAGTACCGCAAGTCTGCTGAAATGCTCTTCAAAATGTTCCGCCCAACGAGCTAGTCGACGACGCTAAGAATAGAACAACAGTCCGTCTTTCACAGTTATTGGCTTGCTAACGGATGGTACTCCCGGACCGGTGATCTGGATGAGCTGGAATAGTACTCGGCTGTTCCCAATAGTGTTGTGTTCCTGCATCTCACGGCCCTTTGCCATCCACCAACGTTCCTGGTCGATTTGAAGACTTCTTGTCAGACGTCGTTTCAGGGAGTTACGGACACGCTGAAAATCAGTGCCCATTGAGACCGGTTTACGTGTTCAAGCTGATCGATGCCACAGAGATCCATTCAGTAACGACGTCTCAACCTCGGTGCACAGCAAGCGCCAAAGACATTCTTCATTGCACATTTGAGATGACCTTAATCAGCGTTGGGCTCACCGACCGCATTCACCATTGAAAAGTTGTGCGGCAGTTCGTCGTGATATGGTTGAACTTCTGACTGCGAGTTCAAGCTATAACTAATACTAGAAGATAGGCGCTTTTTTGAAGCCGGAAGAGTGAGTGTCAAGTGTGCGCGCACTAGAGTATGGTCGGCTTCCAAGCACGTGCTCCAAATTGATCCATGGTCTTGGACTGATGTGCACCATCTGTAGGTAATGGCGATATGGTCAATTTGGGTCAACATCATAGAGGAATTCAGTGGGCACCAGGTGACGCGGTGTAAACGTCTGTGTTGCAAAGCAGTGCTGCTAAGGTAAAGGTTGTGGTCGGCGCAAGGTTGCAGGAATCGATCACCATTGTCTGGTCGGCGTGCATCGAGTCACTGACTAAAAGAGGACCCATTTGGGCATTAATGGTACCAGCAACAATTAAGATGTCATGATTGTTCGCCATCCGAAGAAGAGGTGATAGCTGTTGATAAAAAACGTCTTTGATGCCTACTGAACTACATTCAATAGGGAGCATAAACCTAAGCGATGAAAAGGCAACCTGTCTTCAGACGCTGTTTATTAACTCCAATAGAGGTTCGTAGTCGAACTACACATATGCAGCTATTACCGGTATCTAGTCGAGCGAATTGCTTCTAGCATGCTTCAAAAAAAGTTCACAGGGACAAAATTACGTGCACAGTTTTCGGGGTAGGATTTACCGTTGGATGCATAGTGGTTGTGTGCATCACACCGTCTATCGAAACATAGTTGAAAAAAGAAAAGCAATATACTAAGCTCCAGTTGTCAGATTCACTATGATAAACTATTAACGGCTATAGTGTAGATTCCACCAAGAGTTAAAAAAGCTCGAATCGACGTTTGCGATGTTAAATATGTTATCATCAGACACGACCCTGTGTGAAGACAGGAAGGTGAATTCTGAAAATGTCAGTGAGGTAAGAAAAGATAGCAAGATTTGTGTGCTTGGAAAAGTAGATCCGATGAAAGCGCTGGTGGTCACTCAACGACGGTGATGGTATAATGTGACGAAACACGGACTATGTAGCATACCAGTTGATATTTGAAGAGTTAATGCTAGTAGGAACATAGTAGACAAACTAAATGATGATTGGAAACTAAGGGGAGCTATCAAGAATGATGTCCAAATTGGTTGTCTGAGTGTTCGCTGAGCTCGGCAGGTTGACTGCAAACGTTTCGTCACCACTTGATGTGACATCGTCAGTGCGCTCCGTACGCGCCACTTTGCTAAATACACGCGCACTGACGATGTCACCTCGAGTGGTGACGGAACGTTTGCAGTCAACCTGCCGAGCTCAGCGAACACTCAAACAACCAACTGAACAACCTGAGCTACCAACATTTGCTTCGTTGTCCAAATTCGAGCGACCGAGCTGCCCTCGGAATCTTATATGCCTGATTTACAGTAGTGGATAGCCAATGACTCCAATAAGTAAGCGACTTCGAAATTACGAAGGCCTGTAAACACTACTTTTCTTACATGCTGGGTATACACAAGGAATAAAACCGAAACGCTGATTGCAGAAAATGGGCGAAGTGGATGGCTTTATTTTAACTGAAGTTTCAATGTGCTCAGATATGTGGACACAAAATGTGCAGCACAATATGAAGATTAGCTCACTGAAAGACTGGTCGGAAACTTCCAAGTGCCATAAATTGACGCGCAAGTCGTCCGCGGAAAGAAATGTCTCTTGATCAGAGTTTACTGAAATCGAATTGGTATGATATGCGTGTGCATTAGAAAATACGCGGCGCAGGCGCGATTCGATGATCAGTTGGGATGACTTCCGAAATCGAGGAACGCGGAGTTCGCCAAAGGGTAGGAGAGTGGGAATATGTGGTCCATACAGAAGAGAATCAGGAGTCTCTGAGGACCAACTTGAAGCACCTTCTTCATCACAAACGTTAAAGTTATACGCTTCTTTTTGACGTTCGGATATCCGCCACAGCTTGATTATGTTATCTAAAACGTGATGAAGACAAAAAGTAGTAATGTAATTTGCGAAAAAACACAAATGATGATAAGACGGAAGTTATTCACCAAGCTCGGAGCCTAAATTGTGATCCAACAGTACGGCCAGCACATGGGGAGTAGTTGCTGCGTTTACCTTAGTGGAGAGGGACTAGATGTATCAAGCAATTGACCGATGTGAAGCATAGTTATTTTGGGTAGGATCCCTTGGAAGAAATAACATTAGCTTTAATGCATCTTATTGACATGTGCTGGTGCAGTACCCCGGGCTTGTTGAAAGAGGGTGAAGGCCTCGCATCAACCATTACTGGTGGAGGTCAAAGCACTGACCTTAACTGCTAAATCTATGGTTCTACTCCCAGTCCCGGCTATCTCTATCTGAGCAGTCTCAATAAGAGTGAAACCAGCCGTGGACTGCAATATTGAGAACAAGCAACATTGAAACTCTCCACTTCCAATGCAGTCCCAATGACCAGAACGACCGTGGTGTCATCCAAGATTATGTGTTGCTATCTAACAATGCGGAAAGCACTCCGAAACGCAACGGGGACGTCGTGATAACTTCTGAGAGCGACGCTCGAGCGAATAAATTTCCCTATTGTGATCAAGCTGAATTACTGTGTTTTCGCAATACCCGTAACGGCAAAAAGAAGGCGATTCACTCACATATGCATGGATTTCAGAAAATTAATGAAGTGGTGAAGCGACAGTTGGAATATCAACAGCCACCAACAGGAGTGTCTAAGCAGAGTAAAAGTCCAAAAACGTGGGGCACAGAATCCCGCCACTAGGTTTAGTGTTAGTTCAGATAAATCGAAGAATTTCAGACGCTTGTAGAGGTACAGATGTGTTAACAATCAAAAGCGACGAATTCGTATGTCTTCGGTCAGTTTCTTCAGACTACTCAGACATGCCATCATGCAGCTACCTTGGGACTATCCGAAATCGGCGATGGAACGGTGTAAGATAGTATGAAAACGAGAGTATACAATTAGTATGCCAGATGCTTCCAACATCCCTGACCTCAAGGGTCCTCCACCATCCAAGCCTTCCACTTCAGTTCCGCCGCTTCCCATCAAACCAACCGCTACGTCTTCAGTAATTCCTCCAATTTTGCGATCCGTTAGGACCTCCAAGACGACGCCTTACATTGATCCGAAACGTCCACTAAGTCGGCTTGGGGGTTGGAGCGTTATGCACAACGGTGCTGCTCAGTAGTCGCAGACCTAACGGGGTACTTCAAAGATGGTTACGTTTGTTGATTGGTCGGATGGGAGCTTAACAATTGACCTCTAGACTCTGACATTCTAATTTGGTGTAACCTTAAAACTGTGTTTTAGTGTGCCTTTTTCTCGATTATATATCTGTGAGAGCAACGTCCTCTTGAGTGTTACGTTAAAAGCGAGAAGCAGGATCGGTACGCTTTAGAACCAATAAGCGAATACAAGGCCAACCTCCGATGAGTGGAGAACACCAAAAGTAACGCCAGGAAAATTTTATTAAGTGGGGCGAAACGCTAGCTAGTGCTAAAAATAAGGCACCGGAAGATAGCTAGCTAGGGGAAAGGTGGTCGCGTGCGCGGAGAGCAAATGTAATATTCTTCCGGTCCGGCGTTCTGAGCTCTTCCGTGTCCAAGTAGTGTGACAAGCTGCAATGCAAAATAAATACCTCGTAGACGGCTGTATGCTCGAGCCGCCTAGTAAGAGGCCGATGTAAAGGAAGCCGCTAAGGAAGCACGGAAGAGAAAAGGAAGAGTGCCGGAGTGGAAGATGAGGGTATTGATAACAGGAAGCACAATCGATCGACCTCTTACCTGTTAATGTGTTACCTTGATGCCCGCGGACCGGCTACACAAAGATGGCGGACCGGGACTCTCACATCTGAGATTTGCCTAGCCACGGGTTCGGTTCCGTAGGTATGCTAGGCCAACTGGAGAGGTTGCCATTAAATGGCGGTTTGCATATATATATATAGTATACACATGTTAACCTGGTGTATGTTTTGTATTGAAGACGGTTAATGTGGTTCTCATAGTTAGTTGTTGTGATAGACTACAGGAGTATTGGAAATCACTTGGCGCCACATTTGTAACTGTCATCATGGTGGATGAATCTGAAAGATTCTGCCTTTTAATGCGTACTATTATCGGAAACTTGATGAGGTTGAGTCCGATGTAAAGAAATTTGCAACTGCCGCAGCTTTTTGCAAGCATACGGCTGTGATTCCACAGCATTATGAACGGCAAAAGTGGACGGGGTTGCCTAATGAGTACCCGTACCGGTACGTACAGTATCCCTGTGTTCATGGCAGGCGTAGCAACGTTCCTGGGAAACTGTAAGTTGCTATTTTACGGTATACAAAGTGCTACACCGTTACAGGATGCTGATTGCTGAGCCCATTTCTCTTTCATGTTGAATTTTACGAACGAGGGGAATTGCATTTGTGTCATTGTCATGGTTTCCATTTTGGGGAGCCATGGCTATATCCACAGAACAGGCGGTTGACGGAGACACGGGAGAAAGAGGGGTTTCCCTGATGTCCGTGTTGCAACTGCCTTTGAATCAGTTCGTGGATCTCCCGACAAGATATATGCGCAACCAAATTCCGTCTACCTTGGATCTCATTTTTGCGAAGTCACACGATTTCGTAAGTGCTATTACCTACGACTGTCCTCTAGGAGCCAGTGACCATGTCTGCATGTCCTTTCGATGTGCTCTAACTAAGTGTCATCAAGCTACCGCTGAGGCTTGTCCAAATATTTGGCGGGCAGACTTTAACGCAATGCGAGACAAAGCTTCAGTTTTGCGTTGTGCGATCACCGTGGCTGTCACCGTTGAGACAGCCTGGGAGAAATTTAAGGCATACCTCACCGAGATCTCTGCTCCCCACATCCCACTCACTAAGAGAAGGGTGACACGGGCGCAGCCTTCATGGACAGATCATACAGGTAAATACTTGCTCAGGAAGCGCTCTAAGTGCTGGCGAACTTACCAAGCGGCTTCATCAACCAGCACCTACGAAAGCTATCGAGCGGTTAGCAATAAATATAAGCATCATCTTAGAACTCTTCGTCTTCAGTTCGAGGAGGATATGGCTAACGCAGCGGTAACAAATCCAAAGAAGTTCTTTGCTTACGTAAAGAGACGTAGCGGTACAAACTCGTCTATACCGGCTTTACTACGAGCGGACGAGACCCATGGGCATACCGACTATGATAATGCCTGTATACTTAGCGAACAGTATACTGGTGTCTTTTCTCATGAGGCCTCTCTACCTCAGTTTGAGCTGGTCACAAAAGTTCCAGAGGATTCTTGCCTAACTGAAATCAGCATAACGGAGACCCAAGTCTTCGGGTTATTGCAAGGGCTAAATCCTTCCAAAGCTTCTGGCCCTGATTCAATTCATCCGAAGCTGATGCATGAATTGGCCGCTGAGCTAAGTGGCCCTCTGACACGCATGTTTACAATACCACTCGACAGCTGTGCCTTACCTTCGGAATGGAAGGACGCAATCATCTGTCCGATTTTTAAGGGCGGGGACAGAGTTCTGCCCGCGAACTACCGGCCTGTCAGCTTAACAAGTGTAGTAGTTAAGTTGTTTGAAAAATTGGTCATGGATTCGGTGGAGAATCACTTGATTAACTTTAACCTTCTCAGTGCGGCCCAGCACGGATTCCTTAAGGGATTTTAATGTCTGACAAATTTACTTGTAGCTCGTGAAAGCTGGGCTGAGGCAGTAGACAACGGTCACGCCATCGACGTGCTTTTCGTTGACTTCTCAAAAGCCTTTGATACTGTCCCACATCAACGACTCTCATTGAAGTTGAGATCGTATGGGATATCTGGAGCCGCCCTTAAATGGGTTTCTGCTTTCCTAGAGGGGAGAGAACAGTGTGTACGCGTGGGGCGTAGCCTTTCGCTTAGACAAGCTGTTCTTAGTGGCGTTCCGCAGGGCTCGGTTCTAGGGCCGTTGCTTTTCGCAATTTATGTCAATGACCTACCCCAGGAGCTTGGAGTACCGTCGCTATTGTTTGCTGATGACCTCAAGCTCTGGAATATTGTGGATATCCCTGGTGGCTCTGAGGCAATTCAGAGTGCCTTGGATAGGCTCTGGGTTTGGTCAGCCTTATGGTTGATGCCCATACATCAGGCGAAATGTTCTGTCCTCCGCATTGGAGGTGCTATTCCCCCCACGCACTATGTAGTTGGTGGAAGTGATCTCCCTGTTGTCATTCAGCAGGTTGATCTAGGTATCACCCATACCTCATTGCTTCACTCTTGGGAAAATTGGAGGAAGGCTGCTTGTAGAGGGTTCCGTATGATGTGGTTTATTCGCCGCTCCTTCGGTGTCTTAATGGCAATTATTTTTGTGAAGCTGTTCTCAGCTTTTGTGCGACATTACTTTGAGTACTGTATCCAGGCTTGTCTACCTTGTCTTGTAAGCGACAAAATGGAACTGGAGAGGGTTTTGCGAGTGGGTACAAGATTAGTGCAAGGATTACGGGGGCAAACGTATCCCGAACGTTTGCTTAGCTTGGGTATGTACTCAATGCACTACCGCAGAATTAGAGGAGACTTGATCCTCACTTACCGTATCTTTACAGGTAAGATCGGTCCAGACTTGTCCTGGCTATTTAGTCCCGCCAAGCTGTCTAGTCTCCGAGGTCACCCGTTGAAGCTGCACAAACAGCGTTCGGACCGGGTAAGAACGGAAACTCGCTTGTCGCGTCGAGTTATTGGACGTTGGAACTCGCTTCCGGCGCACGTGGTTAGGAAGTCTACGGTAGAGGGTTTCGAGCGTCAGTTAGATGCTCTTGGGTGGCAGTACCAAACCTTCCCCTTCTCCTAACCGACTTGTCTCTTCAACTTTCCCTTCGTTCTTTTTTAATATTTTCTCACCTTGGTATTATCATTATTTAGCAGACATTCCTCCTCTTGTTATCTTAGCTTACCCTTCACTTTTTTACTTCACATAAACCGGCCTGGCAGGGACTGCTTGGCAGGAAAATGTGGGCAGTAATTGGTTGGACAGGGAATGATGCTGTCTTTGGTTTAGGCTTTTCAACATCTCAAGCAGACCTGTCAATTCCCGATCCGACGATACGCAAAAGAGGGAACATTCACAGGATTATCCTATCGTTCCGGTCCCAACTGAACTTGAACTTGCCTGAAGACACTGGCAAGTTGTCAGATCCTGCATCTATTTGTTCACTGTCGAATGTCAGTTTGCCTGTTAGCAACGACCTTGTCAGTAACGAACCCTCAGATAGCGTGTTTGATTCGGCTGTTAGCGAAGGAGAGCAGCAGGTCTCTGCCCTTGTCCAAAGAAGGCGAAAGAGGGTTAAAGAAGCGGCAAAACCCCAGGCGGACATGAGAGATCCGTCGGGCGCCCTTTCCCCCTCAAATTCAACTACTACGGAATCGTTGCAACTGGAAACATCTACGACATTAGAGTCCATGAAAACGGACACTAAACTGAAACCACCAACGTCCAATGGAGCGTTCGGTAAATAGGCCGCGTCGCTGAGACTCTTATACCGACTGCAGTGTTATTTTCAGAAACGATACTGAGTCTTTTGCTGTTCTCCCAAGACCGTATGCTAGATGACCTTTAGTGGTTTGGAATATGCGTTACCGAAATCCTGCCTCCCGGCTTCCCCGGCATGACTGTGCGCAAACTAACCGGACTCGGTAACTTGCTAGCTGACAAGTCTCGCCCTCGCTTTTTGTGAATTGTTCTGTGCACTCCGGAGGTGCGCCAAGCACTTCTGCGTTTCGCCTTTAAGCTCAAGGGCACCGGTGTCATTGTGCACACGGACCTCCTTTTGGCGGATAAGGTTAACCTGCGGGAAGCTGTGAAGGATCTTAAAGCCCGCCGTGAATCAGAACAAAAGGGCCACCGCTTGGTGGGTTTTCGGGTGGTGCGCCGGCGGTCCACTTCCGCCCTAGCAGAGCCGGTTTCGGTGGCGCACGATCCCGGACTCACAATGTCAAATCCCTTCAAGTGATCTTAAGCAATGTGCGTAGCCTGCGATACAATCTGTGAGAAGTCGGCTGCTTTGTGGACGACTGCCGTGCAGACGTTCACGCCTTCACCGTAACGTGGTTGTCCACCTGAATTGTGCTTGCCAGGCTACGCACTGCTGAGATGTGACTTCACCTCTGATCGGCGCGGAGGTGGCGTTGCTTTGTACGTTAACTCCGCGCTTACCGTCTTTAACACGTATAGTTTCAGATCATCAGAGCGTGATGTTGAGGCACTCGCAGTTAACCTGTGTATTGCCTCCGCGGGATTTAAAGTTGTGCTGGTCTATAGAAGTCCCGACAGCGTTGCTAAGGGGCTAGCTGATTTCATCCGCGAGCAATCGGCAAATAGGTGTTTAGTGATGGGGGACTTCAATCTTCCCGACGTTGACTGGCAGAATTTTTCTGCGACGCTGTTGCAAGGTGTTTGGCTACGGAGATTCTCCAGCTGGCCTTGCATGCTTCCCTGCACCAATTTGTCGATCGGCCTGCTAGATTCATGATAGGTCCAAATCCGTCCCTCTTGGATTTGATCTTCTCTAAATTCATTGATTTTGTCACTGATATTGTATACAAATCACCTCTCGGTGCTAGGGACCACACATGTCTCTCAATTAAGTGCGCCCGTAGTCGTCAGACTAAGGTTCATCCCGACCGAGTTCCAAATATATGGCACGCGTACTTTCAGACAAGGAAAGCCAAAGCCGCAAAGTCGCTTTGTGTCATTTTGGAAAGTGACGACATTCAAACGGCCTGGGACAGATTTAAATCATGCTTCAGTGAGCTCTCTCTCCCCCATATACCACTATCTGGCAGAAATACAACTAGGGCAAAGCCACCCTGGTTTGATTCTGCTGTACACAAACAACTCAACAGACGTGCCAGATGTTGGCGTACCTACTTATCTGCTCCTTCATTATGCACCTTCAAGCGATATCGTGAGGTTCGAAATGCCTGCAGACAGTATCTACGAGGTGCTCGTCTAAAGCATTAAGTAGAGCTTGCTCGTATAGCCTCATCAAACCCGAAACACTTCTTCGCTTATGTCAAAAGGCGAAGCAACATGCACTCGTGCATCCCAGTGTTGTTTGGCCCTGACGGCACTGCTATTGCCACGGATCACGAAAATGGTTCCTTTCTCGGAGAACAGTATGCTGGGGTTTATGTTCCAGAGTCACACACGCCGCATTCAGTCTCCAGGCAAAAGTTCCTGAAGGCTCCCACTTGCAGGAGGTTTCTTTAACCGTTACATCTTAATATTGCCTGCTGTATTCCATAAGCTTGTCCACTGTGTTTCCTTTACTGACACTACTGTTTTGTTTTATTTTTCACGTGGCCGGCACAGCGGGGACTGCTAGTGCGAGGCACCTGGGCATTGTTTGGTTGACCATGTGGTTTTTGTGCGTTGATTTAGCTCTCCTTTGGCACATCAAGGCACCGGTTTCCTGTTGGATCAACGACGTTTTCCAAGGTGGAACAATCGCGGCATTTTCCTACTCTTCCGGTCCCACTTGAACTTGAACTTCATTGTGTATTAAAGACCATTGACACTCGGGTTCGGCAGTCGGTTCCGGTCATTAATTACTCGAGTAGAGAGCTTAACATCTGAGCGGACTTTGAACCTCCTCGGTTAAAACAGCTTCCAGCTGTGACCTCGAGACCAGCTGCGAAGTCTTAGCTGAAAAACTGCCTTAGCTCGTTTCCCAGAAGATAAGTGTAAATAAGTGCTGCCTCCTTTTAGAGGATGATATCCTTATGAAGCCCAACATGTTTTTCGCCACAGCAGTTCTCTTTAACGTGTCAAGGGTCGTTTTGAGATCAGAAGAAATTTTTGTGCCCAGGTCCTTTTTCTTTGTGGCAACCTTGAGTAGGTACCCGCCAGTGTGATACATGCTCAGTGGTTTAGCAACACTTATAGAAAGGGCTAAGCACTTATCTTTGCTGACCGGCAAACCCTACTTGAAAGAGTGTGGCAGATTAC